GTCTCGTTGCCGCTTTCCCGTTTCGCGTTTCAATCTTGGGAGCATATTTCACCGATCGATTTCGCACATGCTTGTCGCGTTTCAGCTTCTCGTTTCAATTCCGCGATTTCAAATCCGAAAATTATTGTTGCTGCTGCACCATGCCCTGTGTCATGCCATCCCATGCATGCTCACACCATCGCCCACTGCACATGCACATGCACGCCTTCCGCCCCCTTATCTCCTCCTTAGCTGTCCTTTAATCACTCCCGCTCCCTCCCCTCTTATGTCTCCTCTTCCCTCCCACCGCCCTCCCCCTCTCCCCCCCTCTGCTCTCTGCTCGAAGCAAGTGGCAGGTGCTGAGAGACAGCTGCAAGGGGCAGCAGCAAGGGGCAGCAGCAAGGGGCAGCAGCAAGGGGCAGCAGCAAGGGGCAGCAGCAAGGGGCAGCAGCAAGGGGCAGCAGCAAGGGGCAGCAGCAAGGGGCAGCAGCAAGGGGCAGCAGCAAGGGGCAGCAGCAAGGGGCAGCAGCAAGGGGCAGCAGCAAGGGGCAGCAGCAAGGGGCAGCAGCAAGGGGCAGCAGCAAGGGGCAGCAGCAAGGGGCAGCAGCAAGGGGCAGCAGCAAGGGGCAGCAGCAAGGGGCAGCAGCAAGGGGCAGCAGCAAGGGGCAGCAGCAAGGGGCAGCAGCAAGGGGCGGCAGCAAGGGGCGGCAGCAAGGGGCGGCAGCAAGGGGCAGCAGCAAGGGGCAGCAGCAAGGGACAGCAGCAAGGGACAGCAGCAAGGAGCAGCAGCAAGGGGCGGCAGCAAGGCGAAAAAGCAAGGCAGCCTCAACGCTCCACACAATGATAAGCTCACTCCCTTGGGTTTCCAGCCCGCTCAGTCCCTCCCTCGGCTCAAGCTCTTGTTTCAGCTCTCCAGACTCCAACCCACATCCCAACGTATGTTTTTTGAGAATTCTCAAAAAACATACGCTGCTCTTGATTCAACTGTCCAGACTCCAACCCACGTCCCAACGTCCCCTGCACTGCCACCTTCACCCTTGCATTGCACCTTCCTCCTTGCTTCATGCCAACCGTCCCTCCACAGAGCCTCCCTCTTTGGTAAAGGTTCAGGTTTTTTTTCAGGTAGCGGTTATGGTTCAGGTGCAAGGTGAAGGTCTGGTACTTGGTCCTGTGGAGGGAGTGTTGGCACTGCACCATGCCCCATCGCATGCCATCCCATGCACACACGATGCTCATACTGCCACCCACACTGCACACTCCACCATGCTCTTTCTTGCCATGCACTCACTCCCTTCTCCTCCCGCCCTTGCCTGCTTGCCTGGCAGATGCTCCTTCTCAGCGGCCCTGCTCGCCCAAGTTTGGGAGGGAGGCGGCACTGCAGCAGACGTTAATCGCTGCCACAAGGGAGAGTATCGGGGTGGGCTTGGCCTCTCAAGGTAAGCCAGCTTCTTCCTCGGCCTCCTCCCTCCCTCCCTCGAGTTCTCTCTCTCCTGCAGCTGTCTCTTTGTTTCATCCTATCTTGTTTTTGTCGTCTTGAATGTCTTACCTGTTTTTTGCTATCTCACCAGTTCCTCCTTCCCTTCCTCTCCTGTCCTCTCTCTCCATTTTCTATGCCCGCTACCAGGTCACTTGGCACCGAGCGAAGACTGTAGCAGGAAGCTGAGTAGCGGATCGGCAGCAGCAGTTGCAGCAGCAGAACCAGCGGCAGCAGCAGTGGGGGGTGGGGGGCTAGAGAGGAGGTTAGGCTAGGTCAAGGTGTGGGGAGGTGTGGTGAAAGGTGTGGTATGGTACCAGGGGAGGTATGGTGATCTGATCCTCTCCCCTCTCTTTCTGCCCTGTTTCTTCCCTGCAGCCTGAGGGTGGGAGCACTGGAGCAAGGGCGGAGAGTGGAGTCCTCCCTCTGACTCACCTCCTCCTCTCTCCCTTTTCCCTTCCCTCCCAGCAGCACCCTGCCTGGAGCACAGTGGAGCCCCGCCCTCTGGTAATCCCCCCTCCCCTCCTCCCCCTTCCACTTCCCAGCAGCTCAGGCATCATGGCGCTGTGCTCGGCTGTGGTAAGTAGAGGTAAGTTGAGGTAAGGAGGCATGGGGTAAAGGGAGGGAGGGGGGAAGGGAGCATGGGAGCAAGCGGACAGTTAATCTCCTTAGGGGCAGCATCCCTTGGGGTTGTGGCTTGTGGGTTGGGGTGTGGTGGGTGGAATCTGCGCGGCACGGCACTCGGTGCACAAGTAACCGATCTGGCATTTAAATCTTAATGGACACCATCAGAGTCGACCGGCCGGCGGCTCTGGTTCGCGTCAGCTCTAGCTACGTCAGGGGTGGGATTTGAGTCTTGGGCTGGAAGCGCTTTTCCACTGCCACACTTCGGCCAACAAGGCACAGCCACTGGTGGTGGTGTTTCCGAAAGAGAGTGGGCTGTCTGCTGCTCCTTCTGCTGGCAGGTAAAGGTGGGGAGGGCAAGTGTGCCAGTGTGGTGAAACATAGTATGCTATTACATTGTATGCTGTCCCATAGTATGGTATGACACAGTAGGGTGTGAGATAGTTTGGTGTGACGTGATATGGTGTGACGTAGTATGGTGTGACATAGTGTAGTGTGACACAGTGTGGTGTGACATAGTATGGTGTGACATAGTGCGGTGTGGCATCGTATGATATTGTAGAGTGTGGTATATTTCTGTGTGGATAATACAGTGGCATTATGAACTGTGGTATGATACTGTATGATGTTATATGGTGTGGTGTTCTACACTGTGGAGTGATACAGTATGGTACGATACAGTGTGGTATGAGACACTGTGGTGTCATATGGTGTGGTATGAAGTGATATGGTTTGATGGAGTGCGGTATGATATAGTATGGTATGAATATCGTGTGGTGTGGTATCAGTGTAGGTAGGTATGCTAGAGTGAGGCATGTGTGTGGCAGAAGCCTTTCTGCCTTAGCTGCCATGCCCTGCCACCAAACTGCCACATGCCATGTCATGGAGAGCAGGGCACATGCCATGGACCCAGCAGCCATGATTAGGTTTATTGTTGGCTCGCGGTGGCAGGCTTCTGATCGATTCATACGCTACTGACCAGGGCTGGCTGCTGTATGATCAAAGATCATCATTCCAGCACACAGTATATCTTGTTAGAATTGTTAAAACCGAAATAAAAAATAATGAACCCCGTCCCAACTTGAAAGGGTGCTGCAGAGGTCGGGCCAACAGAGCCCTATTCCAAACAAAACGATCAGCACTGTGAACAAATGTGATTGGCTCTCGCCAATCTTGGTTCTTCTTGTTCCCGCCAAAAATATTTTTTTTCATGCGGATGTCCTCCGTCGCATGGCTACGTGCTGCACCTGCACGACTGTTGCCTGGTGATGGCTTCGATCGCCAGCCCAATGTCATGGTGTGGGATGTTATGGTGTGGGATGTCATGGTATGGCATGCCATCATGTGACTTGCTGGCCATCAGCAGCAGAAGGGAAGTGGAGGAACATGGAAGCTTTGGAAGGCAGTGTGGTCGAGAGGAGGGAAGGGGATGGAGGAGTGAGGCGTGTTTGTGGCAGAAGCCTGCCTGCCTTAGCTGCCATGCCCTGCCACCAAACTGCCACATGCCATGTCATGGAGAGCAGGGCACATGCCATGTACCCAGCAACCATGATTACGCTGAATGTTGCCTGGCAGTGGCAGGCTTTTTGATCGATCTATAAGCTACTGACCAGGGCTGGCTGCTGTGTGAACAATGTTTATCATTCCAGCACACAGTATACCTTGTTTGAATCGTTTGTATTGGTATGTACTCCGTACAAATATACCATTACGAGAGTTCATCGCTTGCTGATAATACCGAAAAGGCCACTTGTTGCGATTATCTTCATCATCTTAACAAGTCGTATGATTGGCAAGATGCGGAAATACGAAGCCACACAATCAAGTTCCACATCATTGAGCTCTCAAAATGTATTTTAATCCCATGTACATATGAAGCCATGGTGTCAACAAGAATGTTTATTTGGGGAAACAATGTGTAGGACATGTTTCCAAGAACAAGTATTCTGTGCTTCGATGAGACATTCACACATCACAATAACGCGGGTCGCCCTTGCAAATTTCACTCATCGCGCCAACAGTCACAGCGTTCACGCATTTCTCCACCACTTGTGTGGTTGCGCTCCAATTCCTCTGATGTGACCGTTGTCTCGATTCAATTGATCTGCCTTCTTCCTTCGCTCCCTCAAAGCTTCCTCCCTCCCTCCCTTGCCAGTTCTTGGGGCTGGGATTGCTGCATGTTAAAATTTGCTTCTCTGGTCGGATCCATTGTCAGCAGCAGTTTGGCTGTTCGTTTAGTAAACACGCCTGCGTGTAGGACTGTTACGAAGTTAGAAGGACCGTATTGTAGTGATACGGAAATTGCATGACGTCACTTCACACATCATTCCGCCTTTCTCGCTGCAGCAACAGGATCTCACGCCGAGGGAAACATATCTAGTGACCGGCCGGTTACGCGTACAGTAGTCATTTCACAGGCAAATGCATTCTCGAGGTGCATGCGATAGGCCGTGCGATAGATAAGGCCGTCGTCAGGTCGCTGTGTGTCGCCAGCTGGGCTCATGCGACGCAAGTTGAGCTCGTGCGACGCTCTCTAAACTGCCAGATAGCGTGCTCACCACCACTCGTGTCCCGTGTAGCCATCTTCCTCCCTGTCATCTTCCCGTCCTACCCTAACCAGAAACGCACGTGTAGCTCCATCATGCGCTGTATGGTGGTAACCAGCCGCTACGATTCCGTTTTTTACTAGAAGCACGTTTATTGAGGCGCATCAAGAGTCGATGTCCGTTCTACTAGAAGCTCGTTGCGGATTTCGGTTCCGGCTCTACCCAATGGCTCCCTCTGAGGTGGAGGGATCCAGTCGAGAACACTTCTCCTACCGCGTCTAGGTCTACACTACACCTACGTGCACCTATCTTCGGGGGTGAACTTAATATCGCTTTTTAAGTGTGTGTTTCTTTTTAGGCGGAATTTACTGTAGCTTATGGCAATGAAGGGCCCCATGTCTCCACTCTCGCTGCGCGCGACGGAGTTGGAGGACCGGCCGCCGGAGTGGATGGCGCTCATCGCGCCGTCATCCTCGGCGGGCCCTGCGCCGCCTCTCCCGTCCGCATCCAGCAGCAACGGAGGAGCAGGAGGCGGCTTAAAGCCCCGGTGAGCGAAGTTTAGGTAAAGTATTTTGTTCAACAGTATGACGTTGTGGATTTTCCTTCTAAGCGTTTTAGAACTCGTCCAGCAGCAATGGGGGAAGAGGAATCGGCTTCGCGCCTTGAAGTCCCAGTGAGCACAGCTCAGGTCACTGTGTTTCGCTACACTATTGAAAGCACTTAGGCGTGGAGTGAAGGGCAAAGGTCCATTCATCACCTAAATCAGCCGCGTTCGAGTGCTGCCAGTGTCGCACCCCTCCCACGCTGACATCTACGACAGCATCTCTCAAACGTGCCTCATCTTCCTTTTCCCCCCTCTCCCCACGTTCCGCCTTCATCCCACCTCAGCCTAGTGCGAGTGCTGCCGGTGTCACACCCCTCCCACGCTGACATCTACGACCGCGGTTCTCCCGGCGGGGCCGGGGGGTTCATCCTTGCTCTCCATCTCATCCCCCCCTTCTTTCCCCACCTTCCTTCTTCATCCCGCATCAGCCGAGTTCGAGTGCTGCCAGTGTCGCACCCCTCTCACGCCGACATCTTCGACAGCAAGTATCAAACTCGCCCCCATCTCCCACCCCGCTTCTTGCCCCATTCCCAATCATCCCACCTCAGCCGCATGCGAGTGCTGCCAGTTTCGCACCCCTCCCATGCTGACATCTACGACGGCAGCTCTCAAACATGCCTCATCTTCCATCCTCCCCTCTTCCCACATTCCGTCCTCCCCTCTTCCCACATTCCGCCCTCCCCTCTTCCCACATTCCGTCCTCCCCTCTTCCCACATTCCGTCCTCCCCTCTTCCCACATTCCGCCCTCCCCTCTTCCCACATTCCGCCCTCCCCTCTTCCCACATTCCGCCCTCCCCTCTTCCCACATTCCGTCCTCCCCTCTTCCCACATTCCGCCCTCCCCTCTTCCCGCATTCCGCCCTCCCCTCTTCCCACATTCCGCCCTCCCCTCTTCCCACATTCCGCCCTCCCCTCTTCCCACATTCCGCCCTCCCCTCTTCCCACATTCCGCCCTCCCCTCTTCCCACATTCCGTCCTCCCCTCTTCCCACATTCCGCCCTCCCCTCTTCCCACATTCCGTCCTCCCCTCTTTCCACATTCCGCCCTCCCCTCTTCCCACATTCCGTCCTCCCCTCTTCCCACATTCCGTCCTCCCCTCTTCCCACATTCCGCCCTCCCCTCTTCCCACATTCCGCCCTCCCCTCTTCCCACATTCCGCCCTCCCCTCTTCCCACATTCCGCCCTCCCCTCTCTTTCCCCGGTGCCCACCAGCCGTGTGCGAGTGCTGCCAGTGTCGCACCCCTCGCACGCTGACATCTACGACAGCGGTTCTCCTGGCGGGACCGGGGGTTTCATTGGTTCCAACTGCTGGGCGGCATTTTGGCGCGTAGTGCACTACCTCTTCCCGTGCACCAAGTGGATGGCGGCTTATAGCCTGCGAGACGACCTCGTGGCGGACCTTATAGCGGGAATAAGCGTGGGCGTGATGCTCGTACCACAGGTAGGAGTACACGTGGCGGGTTTCTGCAGATTTTGGCGTTTTAATTTCTCATACGTGGAGATTGACTCATACTTGTTTGTTACTACTGTACTATATTATCCCACCTGACCTTTTTCCTTGCTTCAGATTCCGTCTTCGTTCACCGTTTCCTTCCCTTCTTTCCGCCAATCATCTTACCCTCACTTCCCACACCCCCCGCTCATTCTTTCCTCATGACCCACTCTCCTGCCCCTCATTCCATCATCTTCCTCTTCCCCTTCTTTCCCGCTTCTCTCCTATCGTTTCGCCGTCCGCCCCTCCCCCTCCTCACCCACAGTCAATGTCTTATGCGAAGCTTGCTGGCCTGCCCCCGATATACGGCCTATGTATGTATTCCGATGCTCATGACATGTCCCCACTAGTGTACGCATATCTTTAGCTCGTGTATGAGTTGGACTTACCAAGTCCTGATTCTACCTTTTTTCCCACTCTAAGTACTCCTAGTTGTTAGTCAAGAATTTCGAGGAGACCCTACGCTTGCTGCGGCTCGAATCTATATTTTCTTGCGTATTCCGATGCTCACGACATGTCCCCACTAGTGTACGCATATCTTTAGCTCGTGTATGTCCATGTGCTTGACATGTCTTCAAGTGGTTATTTCCATGATTCTCAGGTACAGAGCGGTTCTGTTGATGATTGTGGCTTGTGAAACGAGCACCTCTTCCGTTCATCTTCCGCTCTTCCCCGGCCTCCCTCCCTGCTTCCCCGATTTCCTGCCTCATTTTCGTTTTCCCATCCCTGCCCCATTCCGGTTCCCCTATCCCGCTCTCCCCATCCCCTTTTCCCCATCCCCTTTTCCTCAACCCCACGCCCCCCCCTCCTACCAGACTCGGCGTTCGTGCCGATCCTGAGCTACGTGGTTTTTGGCTCGTCACGCCAGCTGTCGTTGGGCCCTGAGGTTTCCATTGGGAGACGCACCTTCTCCTCTCCTCTTCCCTCACGCACTCCCCTCCCGCCATCCACCCCCCCTCCTCCCACTTTCCCCTTCCATCAAACCCCCCTTGCCAGACTCTGCATTCGTGCCCATCCTCAGCTACGTGGTGTTTGGCTCGTCCCGCCAGCTGGCAGTGGGTCCCGTGGCCATCGTATCCATCCTCACCTTCGACGGGCTCAGGAAGGTTGTAGCGGAGAAGCTCCGCGACTCGGCTGTAGCGGCAGGCCTCGCTGCAGCAGGCGGGTTCGGCCCAACGGCAGGCCTGGCTGTAGCAGGGGGGTTGGGCTCCACGGCTGTAGCAGGGGGCGTGGTGGGGGGAATAGAGCTCCCGGGTGGGACGGTGATGGGTGGATTTCAGCCCTCCCGGTCGCTGCTGGATTTTCGAAACACTGTCCGCGGCAGTAGTAGTCTCGGCGGTGGTGGCGGTGGTGGTGGTGGCAGTGGCACCAGCAGCAGCAGTGCTGTGTTTCAGTTCCCTGTGAGCACGGCTGCAAGGCAGCTGAGTAGCATGGGGTGGGGAATTACAGCAGCGGAATTGACAGGTGGAGCGGGAGGAGGAGGGATGCTAGGAGGAGGGGTAGGAGGGGCAGGAGGGGCAGTAGGGGCGGCGGATGTGAGCATGGAGGAGTTGGCAGTGCTGCTGGCGCTGATGGTGGGACTGCTGGAAGTGCTTATGGGCCTGCTCAGGTATGTGTTGCGCTCTCAGGTGTACTATGGGTAAATTAGCAGCAGGGGCAGGAGGGACAGGAGGGGTACAAGGGGAGGCGGATGTGAGCATGGAGGAGTTGGCAGTGCTGCTGGCGCTGATGGTGGGACTGCTGGAAGTGCTAATGGGTCTTCTCAGGTGTGTGCTCTCAGAGGTTCCTTCACCCGACTAGCAGGAGGGGCAGTAGCGGCGGGGAAGAGCTAGCAGTGCTGCTGGCGCTGATGGTGGGACTGCCGGAAGTGCTCATGGGCCTGCTCAGGTGTGTCTCCTCAGGGGTCTCCTCAGGTGTTTTTTCAAAGGGGTTTCTCAGCTGTCTTTACTGTGGTTCAGGTGTGTCTTCCAGAGTCGTTCAGGTATGATGTTCATAGAAGCTCCCGCACATGCTCTTCTTGCCTTTTCCGCACTCCGTGCCTCATCACACTTATGCACGCTCTCCACGTTTCAGTTTCTTTTCACTGCTCCCAAATCCTTCTCTCTTGCTGTCACTCCGTCCCCCCTACTTCTTTCTCCAGAATGGGCTGGCTCGTGCGTTTCCTCTCGCACAGCGTCGTCTCGGGGTTCACCTAAGGGGCAGCCCTAACGGAGTGCGTGTATTGAGGCGCCCCACCACTCTCTCGCCCTCCGTGTATCTCCTCCCGTCCTTTCCTCTCCAGAATGGGCTGGCTCGTGCGTTTCCTCTCGCACAGCGTCGTCTCGGGGTTCACCTCAGGGGCGGCTCTCCTGGTGTGCGTGTCCGTGGCAAAGGACATTCTCGGCTTCTCCATGCCGGGTGGGTGTGGGGGGAGGGAGTGAGTGAGGGGGTTGGGACCACAGGGGGAAGAGGCTAGTAAGTTAGACCGCCTCATTGCTCTCCTCAGGGGCGGCTCTCCTGGTGTGCGTGTCCGTGGCCAAGGACATTCTCCGCTTTTCCATGCCGGGTGATTGGGAGTGGTTTGATTTTTGGGGGTGAGCGGGCAATAACTGGTCGGAAGAATGGGGCGTTGTTGCTGCTGCTGCTCCCACTGCTGCTGTTTCGGGAACAACCGTGAGCTTAAAGTCAAGCCCTGTTTGGAGCTGAGATGCTAAGTTGCATTAACCCCCACCGTTCTCCCCTACTCCCCGCCCCCCACCCTTCTAATCCCCGCACTCATGCCGTACGCACGGCAGGCCAGACGGCGTTTGCGGCAGCCCTTTTGAGGCGCCTCAAAAGCCCCTACTCCCCGCCCCCCACCCTTCTCATCCCCGCACTCATGCCGTACGTACGCACGGCAGGCCAGACGGCGTTTGCGGCAGCCCTGTCGCACATAATCAAGCAGATAGTGGCGGGGAGGGCTCACTGGGAGCCCATGGCGCTGGGAGGGGGCGCGCTGCTCCTTCTCCTGCTGCTGCAGCTGGTGTTTTTTCAAGTGATCCTCTCTACCTTTCCCCCCACGGCAGGCCAGACGACGTTTGTGGCGGCGCTGTCGCACATAATCAAGCAGATAATGGTGGGGAGGGCGCACTGGGAGCCCATGGCGTAAAATCAGTCAGCTAGCTGCAGGCACTGAGTTGTCTCACCCCCACTCCCTTCTCCCCTACTCACACGGCAGGCCAGACGACGTTTGTGGCAGCACTGTCGCACATAATCAAGCAGATAATGGCGGGGAGGGCGCACTGGGAGCCCATGGCGCTGGGAGGGGGCGCGCTGCTGCTGCTGCTGCTAATGAAGGAGGCCGGCAAGAGCTGGAAGTCGCTGCAGGTGCTGCGATGCGCCGGGCCCTTCACCAGCATTGTGCTCGGTGCCCTGGTCGTCAAGCTCTGGCGGCCCCAACATGTGCCCGTGGTGAGTCATTTAGCCAAGTTCAGGGGCAGATCTCGTTCGTTATTCTTCCACTGCTGCTGTTGCTGCTGCTGCTAATGAAGGAGGCCGGCAAGAGCTGGAAGTCGCTGCAGGTGCTGCGATGCGCCGGGCCATTCACCAGCATTGTGCTCGGTGCCCTGGTCGTCAAGCTCTGGCGGCCCCAACATGTGCCCGTGGTGAGTCATTTAGCCAAGTTCAGGGGCAGATCTCGTTCGTTATTCTTCCACTGCTGCTGTTGCTGCTGCTGCTAATGAAGGAGGCCGGCAAGAGCTGGAAGTCGCTGCAGGTGCTGCGATGCGCCGGGCCATTCACCAGCATTGTGCTCGGCGCCTTGATGGTGAAGCTCTGGCGGCCCCAGCACATGCCTGTGGTGAGCTTGGGGTATGGTGCTGTGGGTTCAGGGGGGAAAGTATGGGAGCTGCGATGCGCCGGGCCATTCACCAGCGTTGCGCTTGGGGCTAAGGTGGTGAAGCTCTGGCGGCCCCAGCACGTGCCTGTGGTGAGTGATCTAGAAGGATTACGGGGCAAATCGCTGCTGCTGCTGCTGCTGCTGCTGCTACCCTTCCCACTTCCCTTCCCCACTTCCGTTCCACCACAGGTCGGCGAGATCTCCCAGGGTCTGCCCTCCCTCTCAACGGCCTTCCCCTGGGAATATTGCCCAAAGCTGCTGCCAACAGCACTCGTGATAACGGGTGTGGCCATCCTGGAGTCGTGCGGAATAGCCAAGGCGCTCGCAATCCCAGGGGTGGTGATTCCCCTTACCCCCCTCCCCCTGCTCTGCCTCGTCCCCCCCTTGCCATCACCACAGGTCGGCGAGATCCCCCAGGGTTTACCCTCCCTCTCCACAGCCTTCCCCTGGGAGTATTTCCCCAAGCTGCTGCCAACGGCGCTGGTCATCACAGGTGTCGCCATCCTGGAGTCGTGCGGGATAGCCAAGGCGCTGGCAGCACGTAATGGCTACGCCATCGATGCCAACCAGGAGCTATTCGGGCTCGGCATGGCCAACGTGCTCGGCTCTTTCTTCTCCTCCTTCCCCACCACTGGTGAGTACTGCCCCATGACAGCCCTGCCCCGTGACAGCCCTTCCCCATGAGTACTCCCCTTAGAGGTTGTTTTGCCTTGGCATGGTCAACGTGCTCGGCTCTTTCTTCTCCTCCTTCCTTACCACTGGTGAGTACTGCTGGTGGCTCCCCCTTCCCGGTTCAGCCTTTCCCCAGGTCAGCCCTTCCCCATGACAGCCTTTTCCAAGACTCCCCTTAGAGGTTGTTTTGCCTCGGCATGGCCAACGTGCTCGGTTCCTTCTTCTCCTCCTTCCCCACCACCGGTGAGTGAAGTCTCCACCGCCGTCGAACCCAGCCTCCCCGTTCCTCAGCCCCCTTTCCTAGGTCGGACACACATACAGCCTTTCCCCTGGTGATCACCCGTTGGGTTTTGAGGCGCCTCAAAACCCAGCCTCCCAGTTCCTCAGTCCCCTTCCCTAGGTCGGACAGACAGCCAGCCTTTCCCCTGGTGATCATCCGCCGGGCCTGGAGTCGTGCAAAATAGCCTAGGACTACCATAGCCAAGGCACTGACAGCATGCAACGGCTTCGCCATTGCTGCCAATCAGGACCTCTTTGGGCTCCCTATCGTGACCCTACACCCCCACTCCTTCCCCCTCGCCTCTGCCACCGCTCCCCCTGTCCGTGGATGCTTCTTCTCTTGATCGGCAGAAGGAGCATGCAGGGACCCCTCGCCAGGAACAACCAAGTGGACGCTTCGCCTCAGCTCTCCTCACTGTCTCCTTCTCGATGACCACCCTCCACACTATCTCGTCTCTGCAGGCTCCTTCTCGTGCTTCTGAGAATTCTCAAAAGCGCTTCGCCTCAGCACTCCTCACTGTCTCCTTATCAAACACCCTCCATGCTATATCGTCTCTGCAGGCTCCTTCTCGCGCTCAGCAGTGAACAATGAGGTGGGAGCGCGAACGGCACTGAGTGGGCTCATCATGGCGCTCATGGTCGTGGCCACGCTGCTCTTCCTCACTCCGGCCTTCAGAGACGTGCCGCAGGTAGGGGCACAAGGTGTATGGTGAGTGGATGGCGTGTGGGTGAGCTGAAAGGGCAGTTAGGAGCGGTCCATTGCACATGGCACGGCACTGAGTGGGCTCATTATGGCGCTCATGCTTTTGAGTCGACTCAAAAGCAGACTCGTGGCGCTCATGGTCGTGGTTACGCTGCTCTTCCTCACTCCGGCCTTCAGAGACGCGCCACAGGTGCGCATGGGTGGTCTGTGGGTGATCTGTGGGTGGCTTGTGGGTGGCCTGTGGGTGGCTTGTGGGTGGCTTGTGGGTGGCTTGTGGGTGGCCTGTGGGTGGCTTGTGGGTGGCTTGTGGGTGGCCTGTGGGTGGCTTGTGGGTGGCTTGTGGGTGGCCTGTGGGTGGCTTGTGGGTGGCTTGTGGGTGGCTTGTGGGTGGTCTGTGGGTGGTCTGTGGGTGGTCTGTGGGTGATCTGTGGGTGGTCTGTGGGGGTTCGGAGGTTGGGAACTGGGTCACCGTGGCGACTGCCTTGAATGCTCCTTCCATTCTGCTCTCCTGCCTTCGCCTCGCCACTGTTCTACTCCCCTCCTCTCTCCCACCAGTGTGTGCTGGCAGCGGTGGTGGTGAATGCAGTGCGCGGCCTGGTGGACCTACAGGAGCCGCTCTTTCTCTGGCGGGTGGATGCAAGCAACGCTTCTAAACGCACACCCTTCTCCACTCTCCTGTCTTCGCCACTTCCACCCCCCTCCGTCTCTCCCCAGTGCGTGCTGGCAGCAGTGGTGGTGAACGCAGTGCATGGCTTGGTGGACCTACAGGAACCGCTCTTCCTGTGGCGCGTGGAAGCAGTGTCTTTCAGTGTGTCCCAAGCTGGCCCACTTCTATCTCCTCCCTCCTGCTTCACCTCCCCTGCATCCCTGCCTCCCCCCAGTGCGTGCTGGCAGCGGTGGTGGTGAATGCAGTGCACGGACTAGTGGACCTACAGGAGCCGCTCTTCCTCTGGCAACAAGCTGTTTGGCTTGACATCTCATTGCTGTGCCACACCCACTCCTCACCCCGTCTCCCACATCCCGCTCCTTCTCCCCTCTTCAACCTCTCTCTCCCCCCAGTGCGTGCTGGCAGCGGTGGTGGTGAATGCAGTGCACGGACTAGTGGACCTACAGGAGCCGCTCTTCCTCTGGCAACAAGCTGTTTGGCTTGACATCTCATTGCTGTGCCACACCCACTCCTCACCCCGTCTCCCACATCCCGCTCCTTCTCCCCTCTTCAACCTCTCTCTCCCCCCAGTGCGTGCTGGCAGCGGTGGTGGTGAATGCAGTGCACGGCCTAGTGGACCTACAGGAGCCGCTCTTCCTCTGGCGGGTGGAGAAGAAGGATCTCGTGCTCTGGCTCTGCGCCTTCCTGGGAACGTTGCTGCTGGGACTTGAAACCGGCGTTCTCATCTCGGTATGTAGGTGTATCAGTAGGAGTGAGTGAGGTTGGGAGGTTGGTATGAGGCAGGAGCTGCGCTTTCTCTGGTGGGTGGAGAAGGATCTCGTGCTCTGGCTCTGCGCCTTCCTGGGAACGTTGCTGCTGGGACTTGAAACCGGCGTTCTCATCTCGGTATGTAGGTGTATCAGTAGGAGTGAGTGAGGTTGGGAGGTTGGGAGGTTGGTATGAGGCAGGAGCTGCGCTTTCTCTGGTGGGTGGAGAAGGACCTCGTGCTCTGGCTCTGCGCCTTCCTGGGGACTTTGCTTCTTGGGCTGGAAACTGGTGTGCGCATCTGGGTATGTGGGTGCGTGAATCAGAGGGGCGAAAGGAATGGGCATGAGTCAGACTGAAGCCCCTCGTCTTGTGGACGGTGGCCATGGAGAGCCTGTGAATTCCCCCTTTCTCGTGGGGAAGGAGAGTTTCCCCTTTCTCGTGGGGAAGGAGAGTTCTTCTACTGGAGACTGGTGTGCTTATTCCCCTCTTTCCCCTATCCTCCTTTTCCTCGTCTTTTTCCCCTCCCCTCCGTCCTGACAGGTGGCGCTCTCCCTCGTCTTTGTCATTCACGAATCCGCCAATCCACACATGGGTAAGCCTACATGCACCCTTCCCATCCCCGTTTTTGCCATCCTCGATATATTGTCACCGACTTCCCCTAATGGCTGCATCTCCCCTCCAACCCCCCTATACCCCGCTCTCCCTCTTACGCTCTTTCTTCCAGCTGTGCTAGGCCGCCTCTCAGGCACCACGGTCAATCGCAATGTGAGGCAGTACCGCGATGCATACATGCACAGAGGCGTGGTGATTCTGCAAGCCTCCGCCCCTCTCCACCCCTCTCCACCCCTCTCCACCCCTCTCCACCCCTCTCTGCCCCTCCTTCTCCCACTTCCTCTCCCTCCCAGCTGTGCTAGGCCGCCTCCCAGGCACCACGGTCTACCGCAACGTGAAGCAGTATCGCGATGCATACACGTACAGGGGCGTGGTCATCATCGTGTGTGCCTCCACCCCTCTCCACCCCTCTCCACCACTCCCTCTCCCTCTCAGCCGTGCTGGGTCGCCTCCCAGGCACCACGGTCTACCGCAATGTGAAGCAGTATCGCGATGCATACACGTACAGGGGCGTGGTCATCATCGTGTGTGCCTCCACCCCTCTCCACCCCTCTCCACCACTCCCTCTCCCTCTCAGCTGTGCTGGGTCGCCTCCCAGGCACCACGGTTTACCGCAATGTGAAGCAGTACCGCGATGCATACACGTACAGGGGCGTGGTCATTTTGCGCATTGACGCCCCTATCTACTTTGCCAATGTGGACTATATCAAAGAGAGGTGCGGTGTTCGGGAAATCGTAGGTGTTATGTAGCAAGAGGTGGGAGTAGCAAGAGGTGGGAAGTAGCAACACGGTCGGATGCTCACACTATGCGTCTCAGAGCACGTACAGAGGCGTGGTCATTCTGCGCATCAACACCCCTATCTACTTTGCCAATGCGTACTATATCAAAGAGAGGTGCGGTGTAGGCACAGGTGCGGTGTAGGCACAGGTGCGGTGTAGGTGTGGTGTAGACACAGGTGTGGTGTAGGCACAGGTGCTCATTGCTTCTGGTGTGAGGATGTCTCGCAGCACGTACAGGGGTGTGGTGATTCTGTGCATCGATGCACCCAACTACTTCGCCAACGTGGACTATATATCAAAGAGAGGTGCGCCTGTAGCCACAGGTGAGGTGAGATGCTGATGGTGGCGGGGTGGAAGGGGGAGCACGGCAGCAGAGCTGTTTGTCATGCCAACGTTTCCTATCCACCTTGCCTGCTTGCCGTGTGCTTGTACTTCCCCTCCCTCTCACCTCAGGCTGCGCAAGTACGAGCTGCAGAGGGTGATGAGGTGGAAGACAAGGACAAGGACGGCAGCAGTGTGGGTGGTTGACGTGCTGTCCTTAACCCCTGCCACTCTTCCCTTTCAACCCCACTCCCCCCCCCCTCACGGCAGGCTGCGCAAGTACGAGCTGCAGAGGGTGGCGTGGTGGAAGGACGGCAGCAGCGAGGCTGGTTGACATGCCTTTTTCATCCCCCGTCTGTCTGCCCGTTCAACCCCACTCCCCCCATCTCACCGCAGGCTGCGCAAGTACGAGCTTCAGAGGGTGGCGTGGTGGAAGGACGGCAGCAGCGAGGCTGGTTGACATGTCTTTTTCAACCCCCGTCTGTCTGCCCGTTCAACCCCACCCCCCCCACCTCACCGCAGGCTGCGCAAGTACGAGCTGCAGAGGGTGGCGTGGTGGAAGGACGGCAGCAGCGAGGCTGGTTGACATGTCTTTTTCAACCCCCGTCTGTCTGCCCGTTCAACCCCACTCCCCCCACCTCACCGCAGGCTGCGCAAGTACGAGCTTCAGAGGGTGGCGTGGTGGAAGGACGGCAGCAGCGAGGCTGGTTGACATGTCTTTTTCAACCCCCGTCTGTCTGCCCGTTCAACCCCACTCCCCCCACCTCACCGCAGGCTGCGCAAGTACGAGCTTCAGAGGGTGGCGTGGTGGAAGGACGGCAGCAGCGAGGCTGGTTGACATGTCTTTTTCAACCCCCGTCTGTCTGCCCGTTCAACCCCACTCCCCCCACCTCACCGCAGGCTGCGCAAGTACGAGCTGCAGAGGGTGGCATGGTGGAAGGACGGCAGCAGCGGCAGCAGCGGAGGCAGGTTGGCTGGCAGCAATGGGGGGGCCAACGGAATGGCAGTCATGGACCTGCGCTTTCTCATTCTCGAGATGTCCCGTGAGTGGTTGATTGATTCTTGATGGCACGTGAGTGAGTGCTGCTCCCTCCTCCCCTCCTTCTGTGTATTCATCGCTACCGCTTCTGTTCCTCCTCTTCTTCCCCCACTTATTTGAAAATGCTCGTGGTCCTCTCTCCCCCCTGCATTCTCTCCATCCTTTCCTCCTCCTCCCCTTCCCCCTTTCCACCCCCCCGTCCGTCTCCTACAGCCGTTACTTATATCGATTCCACGGCCGTGCACGCCCTCAAGGAGCTCTATAACGAGTACAAGGCGAGGGACATCCAGCTGTGCTTCTCCAACCCCTCGCCCAAAGTGATGCTCACCATGGCCCGAGCCGGCTTCCCTGATCTGATCGGCCGTCAGTGGTACTTCGTCCGGATCCACGACGCTGTTCAGGTGAGCTTGGTAAAGAGAGGAGTAGGGGAAAAGGGAGTTTTTCCAACCCCTCGCCCAAAGTCATGCTCACCATGGCCCGAGCGGGTTTTCCAGACCTGATCGGCCGTCAGTGGTACTTTGTCCGAATCCACGATGCTGTTCAGGTGAGCTTGACGCACGAGGAGTGGGAGGGGGGAGAGGGGGGCGTTGGGTAGAGTATGGGGGGAAGGGGGCTCCTCCAACCCCTCGCTTACAGTGATGCTCACCATGGCTCGAGCTGGCTTCCCTGATCTGATCGGCCGTCAGTGGTACTTTGTCCGGATCCACGATGCTGTTCAGGTGAGCTTTGAGCACGAGGGGGGGGGGGAGAGGGGGGCGTTGGGTAGAGTATGGGGGGAAGGGGGTTTTTCCAACCCCTCGCCCAAAGTCATGCTCACCATGGCCCGAGCTGGCTTCCTGCACCTAATCGACCGACAAGGTACCCCGTTCACCATAGCGCCTTCTCGCTCCTGCTCTTCCCCATGCCTGCTTTCCCGCACTCCTGCTCTTCCCCAATGCCCTCTCTGCTCCCACCAGGTATGCCTTGCTCTCCTAGAGGACACCGAGATCACCATTGAAACGCCTTCTCGCTACCAGCGTGCCGATTCTGCCGCAGTCAGAGCAACCGCAGCTCAGGCAGGAGGTGGTGTGCGGCAGCAGCAACCACAGCAGCAGCGGCAGGGGGGAGTGCGAGAGGAGCGACCACACACCCCATCACGGCATCATTCGGAGGCTCAGCAGCAGCGGCAGGGAGAGCAGCAGGAACCGCAGCAGGAGGGGGATGAGCCGAGGGTGATTTTGCAGCAGGAGCAGCTGCAACTGCAGCAGCAGCAGCAGCAGCAGCTGCAGCAGCTGTTGTATCAACAGCAGCAGCAGCAGCAGCAGCAGCAGCAGATGCAGCAGCAGCAGCAGCAGCAGCAGCAGATGCAGCAGCAGCTACAGATGCTACACCAACTCATCATACCACCTCATCACCAACAGCAACAGGGGCAGCTGGGACAGCAGCAAGGACAAACCCAATCACCTGAGCGAACACCTGTGTGGGAGATCCAGCCCCAGGTGACTCAGCAGGTTTCTCCCACACCAGGCCTCACCCTCTCCCCGCACCTGTCCGCCAGCTTCGTAAATCTCGCCCAAGCTGCCCAACGAGCCAGCAGCTCAAACTCTGAAGGTGGGTTGAGTACGGTTGGGGAGGATATTCAGTCAATGTCAGGGGAGTCCGAGGAGAGCTTGGGTGCGAGGCGGAGGAAGAAGCAGAGTGTGGCAACGGCTGCTGCAGATGCAGCAGATGCTGCAGAAGATGCTGCCTTCTTTGAAGGGAGGATGAGCAGTGGGACAACTGTGGGGGATCTTGCGAGTAGCTTGTCTCCCTTCTTGGAGACCGAAGGGACATTCCAAGGGCTCGATTGATGTGAACGCTTACAAGGATATTGTAACTATTTTTGTTGTGACTACCATATATATTTTCTCAGTGCATGCTGGCAATAATACCATAAGGCTCGGGGCCAGTAGAATCAGGACAGCTTCAAAACCACCCTGATGTGTAGCCCAAATCAATCTGTCAACCACTAGAAATTTGTATTGAGTAGGTACAAACAAGGTACAATAAATGACAGCAGTGAAATGGGAGTGAGTACAAGCTATAGCGGGAAAAGAATAATGGTTGGATGAGGTGGCCGCAGAGCTTTTGAAAGTAACCAATCACAGGCGGTTGCGGCCCTGAAAAGTTGACTCTATTCCTCGCCGCGACGCTGACGAAATTATGGCGAAGCTCGCTGATTCCGTGCACCAGCATTTTTCTCCACAACAGCAGGGAAAACGGCGAAGCGAGGAGGAGTGGAGGCCACTACGCCATCGTTGTCCGCGGCAATATCTGAGCGAGGTCAGATGATTGGTTGGTACAGTACAACCAGGCATGTGAATGTCGCATGTGGAAGGGATGGCGCGGCATTTTCGAGGGCGGTCTGGGGTCAGAGCAGTGCCGCCAAGATGGGGGAGTCCCAAAGCCTACGGGGAGCGGGGAGGGAATCTTTCCCCACATGTGCGCGCCTCACTTTTGCGCGCGCGACCAGCGCCAACCACGTGGTCGGATACACTGCCCACAGGGGTGAGCGAGTCATTTGTGATGCGTGCAGGTGCCAACAGCACTGCACCTAGGAGAAATAAGGAAACCCTAAATTACTCCTGTAACTTTTACTCTGACACGCAGTGGAGTGACACTAACAAGTAGGATCAGGAATCAGGATCATGTTGTGACACTTAGTTCCGGATCACGAGTTAATTTAGGTTAGCTTCTCGCCATGTGAGCACGGCGCAGCCTTCCGAGACTATTGACGCCATGGATCGCGGCGCAGCTGCCGCTGATCCGTTTAGGATCGAGATAAGCTATGACGATCTGTTCCCGCACATAGTGTACCTGAACGACCTGAGACACGATCCGGACAAGGTCAAGGATGGATCAGCGGCGGCGGGCGATTCGGGACTTGTCTCCAAATGGAGAATGAAGGATCGGGTACGATTTATTGTTTCGCCCTAGGGTCAACGGTTTTCGCGTCAGAATCGGTTCTATCAACGCTTTAGTTCTTTAATCGGCGGATGCTATCTGGCGATCCTTTTGGCATTGGGGGCGCTGCGAGCTTGAACGAGTTTCGCTGCTGACGCTAGGTGATAGCTCCACGTTGGCGATACATGGTAACATCGGCTGGCGATACTTGGTAGCTTCCACTGGCGAATCATGGTAGCTCTCACTGGCGAACCATGGTAATTTTGACTGGCGAAACATGGTAACTATTGCAGGCGAATCATGGTAGTTGGCGAAACATGTTACCCTCCACAGACGAATAGACGTCTTCATAGCTAGGCAACTGTTACGTACGCGATGTGACTACGCAGAAATTGCCTTCAACGCAATCTTTCGCATGCAGTTTAGGCGACGGCTTGTCAATCGACGTTCGTGTAGCTTTCTACCCACAGGTTAGGTTATTGCGGTTAGGTTAAAAAAGAGAAGATGATTAAGTCTTAATATTTGGCTCGCATCCTTCATCCCTCTCTCCTTTCCCACCTCCCCGCGCAGATGAAATACCACTCTCTGCTGTAAATTGATTCCTTGATCATCGATCCCGTCTCCTACTCCGATCCCCTATTCGACTCCCGATCCTTCCCTCTCATTGCTTCACCTTTCCTTTTCTTCGTCCTCTGTCGTTCCCCTTCTCGTCCCCGCTCTCGCACCCCCCACACCTCCCCACTTTCCCCCACAATCCCCCCCCCCAAACCTCCCCCCCCTCCCCCCTCCTCCTCCCTCTCCCCCTCCCCCTTCCCCCTTATCCCTTCCCCCTTCCCCCTCCTCCCTCCCCCCCCTCCACCCGCAGATGAAGACGAGCAGCGTGGCGATCGTGCTGTGCCTCAACATCGGCGGGAACCCATCTGTTGATCTCCTCTTTCATCCCCTTCACTCCTACCCAACCCCGCTTTCCGTCCCCCACAACACCTGCATACCTCCCCCCCCCCCGCAGATGAAGACGAGCAGCGTGGCCATCGTGCTGTGCCTCAACATCGGCGTGGACCCACCTGACGTCATCAAGATATCGCCCTGCGCGCGAATCGAGTGCTGGATCGGTCAGTGCCCAGCTGCTTCCTCTTTCCAGTCATCTCCCTCTCTCAGCAATCGCGTTTCCCCTCTTCATCTCTTCATCCTATTGGGAGGATTCTTCATCTCTTCGTCCTGTCCACCCAGTACCCTGCTCTTTGCCACTCTACACTGTCTGCCCTCACCATTCCAGCCTTCCATCAAGACAACCCTACGTTGTTTGCCCTTCCATTCCTCTCGCCCCCCACATCTCTTCCACCTGCAGATCCCTTTTCAATAAATGCTGTCATTTATGAAAATGAAAGCCATGGACACCATTGGGAAGAGCCGTCACTTCTTCATCCCGACCCTCTGTGTTTGGCTTGCGCTCCGCCTTTCCACCCTCCCCCCTCCCCTCTCCTCCCCCTTCCCCACTCCTCCTCCCTCTGCAGATCCCTTCTCAATGAATGCACAGAAAGCCCTGGACACCATTGGGAAGAGCCGTCGTTTCTTCAGCCCACTCACGCATCACCCTGTGTCTTTGGTTTGCGCTCCGCCCTTCCACCTTCTCCCCTCCCCTCGCCTGCTCTCTGCAGATCCCTTTTCAATGAATGCACAGAAGGCCCTGGACACCATTGGGAAGAGCCGTCGTTTCTTCAGCCCACTCACGCATCACCCTGTGTCTTTGGTTTGCGCTCCGCCCTTCCACCTTCTCCCCTCCCCTCGCCTGCTCTCTGCAGATCCCTTTTCAATGAATGCACAGAAAGCCCTGGACACCATTGGGAAGAGCCGTCGTTTCTTCAGCCCACTCACGCATCACCCTGTGTCTTTGGTTTGCGCTCCGCCCTTCCACCTTCTCCCCTCCCCTCGCCTGCTCTCTGCAGATCCCTTTTCAATGAATGCACAGAAGGCCCTGGACACCATTGGGAAGAGCCGTCGTTTCTTCAGCCCACTCACGCATCACCCTGTGTCTTTGGTTTGCGCTCCGCCCTTCCACCTTCTCCCCTCCCCTCGCCTGCTCTCTGCAGATCCCTTTTCAATGAATGCACAGAAGGCCCTGGACACCATCGGGAAGAACCTTCAGGCGCAGTACGAGCGCTGGCAACCCAAGGTGTGGTAACCAGCCGTGATCCAAGGTGTGGTAACCAGCCGTGATCCAAGGTGTGGTAACCAGCCGTGATTCAAGGTGTGGTAACCAGCCGTGACCCAAGGTGTGGTTAGATATGAGCATCGAACCGAACTTAGGTTCGGTTCGAGATGTTCGGTTCGAGTTATCTCGAACCGAACTTTTTTTTCCGCAAAAAAGGTTTGAGCAAACCTCGAAAAAGTTCGCGCCAACTTTTCCGGTTCGATATTCGAACCTCGAACCTCGAAAGGGTCAAATTCGAACAGCGAGGGGTTCGAATTAAATTAACTTCAGAAATAATACGCTCGTGACTTTCCCGTCAAAAACGGGAAAGTCGTACGTTGGCTGCCAGTTGAAGGCAGCCAACCCTAATCTCGTAGCAGAGAAGAGTAGATCGAGATCTAGATCAACTCTAGCTTACCCAATGCCTCCCTCCACACTACCGTTCTTTCACCTCAGCTCCAACTTAGGATGTGTCAAACCTTAACTTGTTTGTTAGGTTTGACAGTTTAGTGATGCTGTCCATAAACCATTAGACATGCATGTGTTGTAGAATAACATGTGCATCATTTTAAACCTCAAACCTGAAAAGGTTCGAGTTTGCTCAAACATTAGAAGGTTTGAGCAAACCTTTAGGGTTCGCCATTGTATACTCAAACCTCAAACCGAAACAAGTTTGAGCAAACCTGTTTGGTTCGGTTCGACCAACATGCAAGGTTTGAAAAGGTTTGCGCAAACATGTTTGAGTTCGGTTCGTGCTCATATCTAGGTGTGGTAACCAGCCGTGATCCAAGGTGTGGTAACCAGCTGTGTTTCAAGGTGTGGTAACCAGCCGTGATCCAAGGTGTGGTAACCAGCCGTGATCCAAGGTGTGGTAACCAGCCGTGACCCAAGAGCCATGCAACTGGTTGTAATTATCATGTGATAATTGGCCATGAATAACCGGGTGGTATCAAACCAGCCAGCCACAAGGGGCTCATTTCATGCATTGCATCACATATCCCTTCCTTCTTCCCCGCTCCAACTCTGTGTCTTCCCCAGGCGCACTACAAGGTGCAGCTGGACCCGACAGTGGAGGAGGTGAAGAAGCTGTGCCTCACGCGTGGCAATGCGTGCCTCACATAGACTTTCCTCCTCCTCCTCTTCTCTTCCTTCTCCCCCTTTCCTCTTGTGTCTCCCCCAGGCGCGCGACAAGGTGCAGCTAGCTAGACCCAACGGTGGAGGAGGTGAAGAAGCCGTGCCTCACGTGTGACATTCCAAGCATTACATCACGTATCAATCATCATTTCCTTCTCTCCCGTCCCATCTCCCTCTATCCCCCAGGCGCGCTACAAGGTGCAGCTGGACCCGACAGTGGAGGAGGTGAAGAAGCTGTGCCTGACGTGCAGGCGCAACGCCAAGGCGGAGAGAGTTCTCTTCCACTACAACGGCCACGGCGTGCCCAAGCCCACGGGCAACGGGGAAATCTGGGTGTTCAACAAGACATACACGCAGTACATCCCTCTGTCCGTGTATGAATTGGACTCGTGGCTGGCGACCCCCTCCATCTACGTCTTTGACTGCTCTGCTGCCGGCATGATCATCAACGCGTTTGTCGAGGTAGGTAGGGGTTTCTTTCTCGCCTTTACTCACTGACAGTATCTGGGTGTTCAACATGACGTAACGCAGTACATCCCTCTGTCCGTGTATGAGCTCGACTCGTGGCGACCCCCTCCATCCACGTCTTTGACTGCTCTGCCGCTGGCATGATCATCAACGCGTTCGTGGAGGTGAGGAGCGGTTGTGGTAGAATGCTGGTTACCTCTTTCCCGTCGTCAAGGTAGGTAAGGGTGTCTCGCCTTCACTCTCATTGCCATGTGGGTGGGTGTTCAACATGACATACACGCAGTACATCCCGCTCTCCGTGTACGAGCTCGACTCGTGGCTCGCCACGCCCTCCATCTATGTGTTTGACTGCTCTGCCGCTGGCATGATCATCAACGCGTTTGTTGAGGTGAGGGGGATTCTGACCTGTGCTGTGCAGTGCAGATACGGTGCATGTGACGACTTGTGATGTGACGACTTGTGATGTGACGACCTGTGATGTGACGACCTGTGATGTGACGACCTGTGATGTGACCGACTCGCCTTTCACTGCTCCGCTGCCGCCATGATCATCGTAACGACGTAACCTTCTCGTTTTTTTCCCTCCCCTGCTTTCTTTCCCCCTTCCCTCCCCTCAGCGCCCCGACTGGGCCCTAGCAGCGCCGTCCAGTCCCCTCGCGTCCCCAACAGCAGCCAGCAGGGAAGCAGCGGCTGCCACAGCAGCAGCAGCAGCGAGCATGCGCGACCGCATACTGCTGGCAGCGTGCGGCCCAGAGGAGATTCTCCCTCAATTGCAGCTGCCCTTACCCCTCTTCACCTTCATCCCCCTCTCCTTCCTCTGTCTCCCCTGGTTTTCCTCCTTCCCCTGCTTCCCCTCCACCCCACCCCCCCGTCAGCGGCCTGACTGGGCTCTAGCAGCGCCGTCCAGCCCACTCGCCTCGCCAACAGCAGCCAGCAGGGAGGCAGCGGCCGCCACAGCGGCAGCAGCAGCGGGCATGCGTGATCGCATACTGCTGGCAGCGTGCGGGCCAGAGGACATTCTCCCTCAGCCGCCCGACTTGCCAGCAGACCTCTTCACTGCGTGCCTCACCACCCCTATTAAGATCGCCCTCAGATGGTGAGTGAGTGTGTTGCGAGTGCAGCAGCAGCAGCAGCAGCAGCAGCAGCAGCAGCAGCAGCAGCAGCAGCAGCAGCAGCAGCAGCAGCAGCAGCAGCAGCAGCAGCAGCAGCAGCAGCAGCAGCAGCAGCAGCAGCAGCAGCAGCAGCAGCAGCAGCAGCAGCAGCAGCAGCAGCAGCAGCAGCAGCAGCAGCAGCAGCAGCAGCAGCAGCAGCAGCAGCAGCAGCAGCAGCAGCAGCAGCAGCAGCAGCAGCAGCAGCAGCAGCAGCAGCAGCAGCAGCAGCAGCAGCAGCAGCAGCAGCAGCAGCAGCAGCAGCAGCAGCAGCAGCAGCAGCACAGCAGCAGCAGCAGCAGCAGCAGCAGCAGCAGCAGCAGCAGCAGCAGCAGCAGCAGCAGCAGCAGCAGCACAGCAGCAGCAGCAGCAGCAGCAGCAGCAGCAGCAGCAGCAGCAGCAGCAGCAGCAGCAGCAGCAGCAGCAGCAGCAGCAGCAGCAGCAGCAGCAGCAGCAGCAGCAGCAGCAGCAGCAGCAGCAGCAGCAGCAGCAGCAGCAGCAGCAGCAGCAGCAGCAGCAGCAGCAGCAGCAGCAGCAGCAGCAGCAGCAGCAGCAGCAGCAGCAGCAGCAGCAGCAGCAGCAGCAGCAGCAGCAGCAGCAGCAGCAGCAGCAGCAGCAGCAGCAGCAGCAGCAGCAGCAGCAGCAGCAGCAGCAGCAGCAGCAGCAGCAGCAGCAGCAGCAGCAGCAGCAGCAGCAGCAGCAGCAGCAGCAGCAGCAGCAGCAGCAGCAGCAGCAGCAGCAGCAGCAGCAGCAGCAGCAGCAGCAGCAGCAGCAGCAGCAGCAGCAGCAGCAGCAGCAGCAGCAGCAGCAGCAGCAGCAGCAGCAGCAGCAGCAGCAGCAGCAGCAGCAGCAGCAGCAGCAGCAGCAGCAGCAGCAGCAGCAGCAGCAGCAGCAGCAGCAGCAGCAGCAGCAGCAGCAGCAGCAGCAGCAGCAGCAGCAGCAGCAGCAGCAGCAGCAGCAGCAGCAGCAGCAGCAGCAGCAGCAGCAGCAGCAGCAGCAGCAGCAGCAGCAGCAGCAGCAGCAGCAGCAGCAGCAGCAGCAGCAGCAGCAGCAGCAGCAGCAGCAGCAGCAGCAGCAGCAGCAGCAGCAGCAGCAGCAGCAGCAGCAGCAGCAGCAGCAGCAGCAGCAGCAGCAGCAGCAGCAGCAGCAGCAGCAGCAGCAGCAGCAGCAGCAGCAGCAGCAGCAGCAGCAGCAGCAGCAGCAGCAGCAGCAGCAGCAGCAGCAGCAGCAGCAGCAGCAGCAGCAGCAGCAGCAGCAGCAGCAGCAGCAGCAGCAGCAGCAGCAGCAGCAGCAGCAGCAGCAGCAGCAGCAGCAGCAGCAGCAGCAGCAGCAGCAGCAGCAGCAGCAGCAGCAGCAGCAGCAGCAGCAGCAGCAGCAGCAGCAGCAGCAGCAGCAGCAGCAGCAGCAGCAGCAGCAGCAGCAGCAGCAGCAGCAGCAGCAGCAGCAGCAGCAGCAGCAGCAGCAGCAGCAGCAGCAGCAGCAGCAGCAGCAGCAGCAGCAGCAGCAGCAGCAGCAGCAGCAGCAGCAGCAGCAGCAGCAGCAGCAGCAGCAGCAGCGGCAGCGGGCATGCGCGATCGAATACTGCTGGCAGCGTGCGGGCCAGAGGAGATTCTCCCTCAGCCGCCTGATCTGCCAGCTGACCTCTTCACTGCATGCCTCACCAAGCCTATCAAGATCGCCCTCCGGTGGTGAGTAAGTGAGTGAGTGCATTTCGAGGCAGTTAAACGCCCTTGGGGTGGTGAGTTCTGTGCAGCTATCAGGTCAGCTTAGCTTAGCTTATTTCCCTATCTGAGATTTCACTCCATGCCTCACCACCTCACCTCACAAGATTCTGTTTGCTCCTCGGTATCTCCCCTCTCCCCCCTCTCCCCTATCCCCCCTCTCCCCTCTCCCCCCTCTCCCCTACCCCTCCTCTCCCTCTCCCCCCCCCCCTCTCCACTCCCTCGATCCAGGTTCTGCTCGCTCTCTCTGCTCTGCGTCTCGCTTGATCCCGAGATGGTGGAGCGCATTCCGAGGTGGTGGAGCGCATTCCAGCGCATTCCTGGAGCGCATTCCGAGGTGGCAGAATGAGTGCAACTCGACCGACCCTCTTCTGCTCTCGCGCTCTCTGCTCCGCGATTCCCTCGACCCCGAGATGGTGGAGCGCATTCCCGGGCGGCAGAGTGAGCGCAAGACGGCGCTGGGCGAGCTCAACTGGATCTTCACGGCCGTCACCGACACCATCGCCTGGAACACCCTCCCCACGCACCTCTTCCAACGCCTGTTTAGACAAGACCTGCTGGTCGCGTCGCTGTTCCGGAACTTTTTGTTGGCGGAGAGGGTGATGAGGGCGAGTGGGTGCACGCCTGTGTCGTACCCGCGGCTCCCACCCACGAACCAGCATCACCTCTGGTAAATGGAGGGGGGAAGAGGGAGACGTGGGGGAGGGAGTGATGAGGGCGAGTGGGTGCACGCCTGTGTCGTACCCGCGGCTCCCACCCACGAACCAGCATCACCTATGGTAAATGGAGAGGGGAAGAGGGAGACGTGGGGGAGGGAGTGATGAGGGCGAGTGGGTGCACGCCTGTGTCGTACCCGCGGCTCCCACCCACGAACCAGCATCACCTATGGTAAATGGAGAGGGGAAGAGGGAGACGTGGGGGAGGGAGTGATGAGGGCGAGTGGGTGCACGCCTGTGTCGTACCCGCGGCTCCCACCCACGCACCAGCATCACCTCTGGTAAATGGGGGGGAAGAGGAGACGTGGGGGAGGGAGTGATGAGGGCGAGTGGGTGCACGCCTGTGTCGTACCCGCGGCTCCCACCCACGAACCAGCATCACCTATGGTAAATGGAGAGGGGAAGAGGGAGACGTGGGGGAGGGAGTGATGAGGGCGAGTGGGTGCACGCCTGTGTCGTACCCGCGGCTCCCACCCACGAACCAGCATCACCTATGGTAAATGGAGGGGGGAAGAGGGAGACGTGGGGGAGGGAGTGATGAGGGCGAGTGGGTGCACGCCTGTGTCGTACCCGCGGCTCCCACCCACGAACCAGCATCACCTCTGGTAAATGGAGGGGGGAAGAGGGAGACGTGGGGGAGGGAGTGATGAGGGCGAGTGGGTGCACGCCTGTGTCGTACCCGCGGCTCCCACCCACGAACCAGCATCACCTCTGGTAAATGGAGGGGGGAAGAGGGAGACGTGGGGGAGGGAGTGATGAGGGCGAGTGGGTGCACGCCTGTGTCGTACCCGCGGCTCCCACCCACGAACCAGCATCACCTCTGGTAAATGGAGGGGGGAAGAGGGAGACGTGGGGGAGGGAGTGATGAGGGCGAGTGGGTGCACGCCTGTGTCGTACCCGCGGCTCCCACCCACGAACCAGCATCACCTCTGGTAAATGGAGGGGGGAAGAGGGAGACGTGGGGGAGGGAGTGATGAGGGCGAGTGGGTGCACGCCTGTGTCGTACCCGCGGCTCCCACCCACGAACCAGCATCACCTCTGGTAAATGGAGGGGGGAAGAGGGAGACGTGGGGGAGGGAGTGATGAGGGCGAGTGGGTGCACGCCTGTGTCGTACCCGCGGCTCCCACCCACGAACCAGCATCACCTCTGGTAAATGGAGGGGGGAAGAGGGAGACGTGGGGGAGGGAGTGATGAGGGCGAGTGGGTGCACGCCTGTGTCGTACCCGCGGCTCCCACCCACGAACCAGCATCACCTCTGGTAAATGGAGGGGGGAAGAGGGAGACGTGGGGGAGGGAGTGATGAGGGCGAGTGGGTGCACGCCTGTGTCGTACCCGCGGCTCCCACCCACGAACCAGCATCACCTATGGTAAATGGAGGGGGGAAGAGGGAGACGTGGGGGAGGGAGTGATGAGGGCGAGTGGGTGCACGCCTGTGTCGTACCCGCGGCTCCCACCCACGAACCAGCATCACCTCTGGTAAATGGAGGGGGAAAGAGGGAGACGTGGGGGAGGGAGTGATGAGGGCGAGTGGGTGCACGCCTGTGTCGTACCCGCGGCTCCCACCCACGAACCAGCATCACCTATGGTAAATGGAGGGGGGAAGAGGGAGACGTGGGGGAGGGAGTGATGAGGGCGAGTGGGTGCACGCCTGTGTCGTACCCACGGCTTCCCCCCACACACCAGCACCATCTATGGTACATGGGGGATGGGTGGGGTGGAGAGAAAAGTTATATCTTTCGGGCATTTTGGGTGGTATTGTGGGTGGGGCATTTCTATGGCCTGCTGGTTGCGTCGCTGTTCCGGAGCTTTCTGCTCGCGGAGAGGGTGATGAGAGCGAGTGGGTGCACTCCTCCTGTGTTCATTTGCAGCTTCCCGCCAGCACCACCCGATAACAGCGGCTTGATGAGCAAGGCCCTGTGTTGTCCGTCTCCCTTCCACCCCTGTCTTTCTTCTCTATCCAGGCACGCGTGGGACATGGCAGCGGAGATGTGTCTGGCACAGCTGCCAACGCTCCTTGCAGACCCCAACGCCGAGTTTCAGGCAAGCTAATCCCTCTTCTGTTATAATCCGTTTTTTGAGAATTCTATAAAGAAAAAGAATATACGTGTCCTTCGCAGCTGCCAACGCTCCTTGCAGACCCCAAGGCCGAGTTCCAGGCAAGCAAGCACACACAAGCGATTGTTATACTGTGTCTCAGGCAACGCGAAAAACCTCTTTACGTCTTATCGGACACAAGCGATTGTTGGACGACTGTGTCGCACACGATTTAGCTTCTTGAGTGGATGATGCACTGCACTCTGCGGCACGCATAGAGGCTCCAGCCAGAGTCTTCTTTTGAGTCGACTCAAAAGCCAGAGCCCGCCTGATCAATCCCTCCGTCCTGTCCCCACGGCCCGCCCTTCCTGCCTGCCAGCCCAGCAGCTTCTCGATTTTTGAGTCGACTCAAAAACCCGCCTGATCAATCCCTCCGTCCTGTCCCCACGGCCCACCCTTCCTGCCTGCCAGCCCAGCAGCTTCTCGATTTTTGAGTCGACTCAAAAACCCGCCTGATCAATCCCTCCGTCCTGTCCCCACCCTTCCTGCCTGCCAGCCCAGCAGCTTCTTCTCACAGCAGCTGATGGCGTTTGAGGTTTGGCTGGAGCATGGCAGCGACAAGAAGAGACCCCCAGAGCAACTTCCCATCGTGCTGCAGGTCAGTCCTCCTTAGTCTTTCGTTTTCCTGCACAAGAGACATCAGTATTTTTGCAATGTTAATGATTTGATACAGAGGTCACATTGTATTCTGTTCCTCCACTTCTCCTTCTCCTCATCTCCTCCCCCCCTTGCCCCTTTCCCCCGCTCCCCCTCCTCATCAGGTGCTTCTCAGTCACTCGCACAGGTTGCGAGCTCTTGTGCTGCTGGGCCGATTCCTTGACATGGGACCATGGGCTGTAGACCTGGTGAGTCGCACTGCTTCTTTCTCCTTCCCTCGCCTCCCCACTTGTGGTTCCCTCCCCCCCCTCCCTCCCCTCCCCCTCTCCCTCCCCTCCCTCCCCTCCCTCCCCTCCCTCCCCTCCCTCCCCTCCCCCACTCTCCTCCCCTCCCTCCCCCCTCCCCTCCCCTCCCTCCCCTCCCTCCCCTCCCTCCCATCGTCCACCCGCCCAAACGCTTTTTCCACTGTCATCTGTTCACCCATCCCGTTCCCCTGTCCATGCTATATTTCATGCCTTCTTCCCCCTGCTCCCTCCTGTTCCCGTATCTCCCATACTTCTCTGCGTCTCTCTTCTGCCCCCTCCATTTCACTCAGGCGCTCTCAGTGGGAATATTCCCCTACGTTCTCAAGCTGCTGCAGACCAGTGCAGTGGAGCTGCGGCAGATCCTCGTGTTCATCTGGACCAAGATCCTGGCTCTTGATAAGGTGGGCAGTTCTGGAACAAAACAGAGTTGTGAGATTTTCCAGATCCTTGTGTTCATCTGGACCAAGATTCTGGCTCTTGATAAGGTGTGGTAAATCTTCATGGCGGTATGGCATGCAGTTATGGTAATAGCATGGCATGGGAACTGAGTTGTGAGACTTTTCAGATCATTGTTGTTCCTCTTGACCAATATCCCGGCGCTTCGTTCATTACAGCGTTTTGAGAACCCTGACTGAAGCTGAGAACCCCAAAACCTTGCGTTTTTCACTCGCACACCCCTTTGCTACTCTTCGCCTGCTCCTCCCACCAACAGTCATGCCAGGTGGATCTGGTGAGGGATGGCGGCCACATGTATTTCATCAAGTGCCTTGGAGACTCACGAGCCATACTCCTGACTTGATGCCATCTCCCCTTTCCCCCTCTCTCCATTCCCTACGCCTGTCCCCATCGCCAGTCATGCCAGGTGGATCTGGTGAGGGATGGCGGGCACATGTATTTCATCAAGTGCCTTGAGACCCACGAGCCATACTCCTCCGACTTTAGGGAGCGAACCACATGTGATGCCAATGCAACTCTAAGTGCCCTATCCCTCTCTGTCTGTCCCTCTGTGATGTCTGCAGTCATGCCAGGTGGATCTGGTGAGGGACGGCGGCCACATGTATTTCATCAAGTGCCTTGAGACCCATGAGCCATACTCCTCCGACTTTAGGGAGCGAACCACATGTGATGTCAATGCTACTCTAAGTGCCCTATCCCTCTCTGTCTGTCCCTCTGTGATGTCTGCAGTCATGCCAGGTGGATCTGGTGAGGGACGGCGGCCACATGTATTTCATCAAGTGCCTTGAGACCCACGAGCCCTACTCCTCCGACCCCAGGGAGCGGGCCACAGTGGCCTTTCAGCGAGCCATGGCTGCGTTTGTGCTCGCGCTCATATGCGACGGTCATCCCAAGGGGCATCAGGCGTGCCTGCAGGTGAGCTACTAGTTGAGAGAAGGTGTTTTGAGTTGAAGCGATCAAGGCAATGCCCTTGTGCTCGCGCTCATATGCGATGGCCACCCCAAGGGGCACCAGGCGTGCGGGCAGGTGGGCTGATTTTTTGGACTTGATTCGATTTAATTTGATTTGAGATGTCTTAGCACCATGCTCGGATGCCACAGAGGACTCATCCCTCTCTGCCTCATGCACATCCCGCTCCCTCATCCCCTTCTGTTAAGTACATACTAGCTGCTGTTCTTCTTGCTTTAAGCGTAGCTTCACGCCCGCCGCTCTCCAAAAATTGCGTCTGGTCGTCCCTCTCTGACCTTATGCAAATCTCTCCCTCATCCCCTTTTGTCCATCCGCACCCCCACCCCCTGCCCGTGCTGTGCCCCTCCCCCACCCTCACTCCCCACCTCCCCCCCGGCCCGTGCTGTGCCTCTCCCCCACCCCAACTCCTCCACCCCCCCCCCCTGCACGTGCTGTGCCCCTCTCCAGGCGGGACTCATCCCTCTCTGCCTGATGCACATTCAAGCTGCGCCTCCAGCAGAGCCGTTGCTGCTGCAATGGCTGTGCCTGTGTGTGGGCAAATTGTGGGGGGGAGCGCCAGAGGCACAGGCAGCGGCGTTGGCTCAGCATCGCGCCCCTCAGATCCTTTCCCGTTATTGTCAGAGCCACAGCCAGAGGTGAGAATATGGTTTTTAGAAAGTTTTCATTGGAACATGCGTGGCGGGCACGGGAACATGCGTCAGGGGGTCACAAATTGCAGGGTTAACAGCAGCAGGGAAGCAGGGGGCGTGAGGGGCAGGAGGAGAATTCGGGGCGGAGGCCTGAGGGCATGGAAGTGCAAGACGTGATTGGCTTGACGTTGGAGGAAGACGATGACATGCTTGCCCATTCTTCTGTGGATGGAAAGGAGCAGAAAGAGGGAGAGGGGGTGGAGGAGGAGAGGAAGCTCCCTCCGATTCCACAGGCGACAGCTGTACAGGATCAGAAGAATGGGCAAGCACGTCATCGTCCTCCTCCAGCGTCAAGTCAATCACGTCGTGCACTTCCATGCCCTCAGGCCTCCGTCCCGTATCCTCCTCCTGCCCCTCACGACACCCCTTCAGGACTTTTGAACCATGTTCGCTCCCCCCTTTCCGCATTTGCCTTTCTGTCAGGACTCTTAAAACCCCTTCCACTTAACCCCCTCTCTCCCCCCCCCATGTCCCACCTATTAGGTCTGAACCACAGCCGCACAGGACCTAGGTGCTTTGGTTCACATTGCTGTGTGTGGAGGGGTTTCACAATCTCCCCCTTCTTCTGCCCTTCTTCTGCCCCCTCTGTCTCCCCTTCCTCTGCCCCCTTGTTCCATATTCCACCTACCAGGTTCGAGCGGCAGCGACGTATGCCCTGGGCGCTCTGATCCACATCGCTTCGGAATCTCCACAACCAGGGGAAGGAGCAGCAGCCGGAGTAGGGGCGGGAGTAGGAGCAGCAGCAGGTGCAACAGGAGGGGGTTCAGCTGCAGGTGCAGGAGCAGGTGTTGGGGGTGTTTTAGGGAGGAATCGTCTACCACAGCAGGAGGAGCAGTGGGGGTGCAGCAGCAAGAACACCAGGTTCAGAACCTGGGTCAGCAGTAGGAGGAGCAGCAGCAGGAGCAGCAGCAGGAGGAGCAGCAGGAGGAGTAGGAGCAGGAGCACAGGAGCAGCAGGTGCAGGTGGAAGCAGTGCAGGTTTGTCTGGGGGTAGGTTCAGCTGGGGCGGAGTGGAGGGAGGAACAAAAGATTGGCAGCAGAGAGAGGGGTGCTGCAGGTGTTACTTAAAGTGCTGAATGATGGGAGCCCCATGGTGAGAAAAGAGCTCGCTATAGCGCTGGCTAGAATAGCCCACGGGCATCGCCGCCCGTTCGGCTCGCTGCGGCGTCTTATCTGTGCCGCCCGTCGCTCGTGGCCGGCAGCGCGGCCAGCATGGGCATGGGGTTTGGCAGGTCTGGTTCGGAATTAGACAGGCTCGGTGCAGGTTCGGAAGTGCATGGATTCACAGAGAAGATGGCAGGTTGGGGATGGGTGGAGGTGGAGGGGAGGCAGGAGGGGGAGCAGGAGCAAATGGAGGAGGAGGGGGATGGCAGGATTGAGTAGCACAGCAGGCCTTTCAGGTGCGGGTATACCCTCGTCAGGTTCGGGTCTCAATCTCCCCTCTCTCGCCCCCCAAGTGCGGGTATACCCTCGTCAGGTTCGGGTCTCAATCTCCCCTCTCTCGCCCCCCAAGTCAACATGGTAGGACTTAGGCTCGGCACGGACGGTCGGTTGTATCCCCGGCCAGGTCCGGCAGTGAACGCACCTCTCCCGGTCCTCCAATCCACCGCAGGCTCGGCGGTGGTGGGCCGGATGCTCGCACAGTCGTTTGACGCTGCAGGCTCGGGAGTAGGCTCGGGAGGTACGGCGGCAGGTTCGGGGAACACCGCAGCCTCGGGAGGGTCAGCTTCGTATCTGAGAGTGTATGAGGAGGAAGGGGAGAGGGATGGGGGAGGGGGAGCAGCAGCAGGGGGGACGGGGGGGCAAAGGACAGGGGGATGTGGGGAGTAAGGGCACAGCAGTGAACGCACCTCTCCCGGTCCTCCAATCCACCGCAGGCTCGGCGGTGGTGGGCCGGATGCTCGCACAGTCGTTTGACGCTGCAGGCTCGGGAGTAGGCTCGGAGGTACGGCGGAGGTTCGGGGAACACCGCAGCTGGGAGGGTCAGCTTCGTATCTGAGAGTGTATGAGGAGGAAGGGAGAGGGATGGGGGAGGGGGAGCAGCAGCAGGGGGGACGGGGGGGCAAAGGACAGGGGGATGTGGGGAGTAAGGGCACGGGGCGCAGCAACGGGCAGGCGTACTGTTAGCAGGAGGAGGCGATGTTGGGGTTACAATAACGATTCCTCCTTAGTGAATGGATTGTTCCTATAGCAGAAGGTGCTTGTGAGAGCGAAGCTTCATCGGGGGAGGATAGAAGTAGAGGCAATGAGGCCCAACAGCAGTCAGGTGAAAAGCCAGGTGGGAGTGGGAATTCGGCCACAAACCCTCCGTCTATCTCTGCTACAGCTGCTGCTACAGCTGCCGCTACAGCTGCCGCTAGCCGCTGCCACAGCTGCAACAGCGGCAGTAGCAGAAGCTGCAGCAGTGGCGGTTGCTGCTGCTGTCAAGAGTTCCGGTTCCCCAGTCACAAACCCTCCCTCCCGCACCTCAAAACCCCCTCTTCTCCCTCTCCTCCCCAACCAGCCTCTCAGCTTCGGCGCCGGACCTCTCCTTCCTCCGGGGCGCTGCGGAAGCTGCCAGCGGCTCGCCGGGGAAAGTGCTAGGATGCCCTGGGATGTGTGACTGTAAGGGGCGGAAGCCAGGGTGGCTTGGTCAAGGAGCAGGGAGGGTAGGCCCCTCTGGTATGGGTTCTACTAACGGGGGGCTTATATGGGGGGGATTAGATGTTTCAGACAGTGCGACGTACCTGCAGAGTATGATTGCTGTAACACCCTTGCGAGGGACCCTGCCCCATCCGTTTCTAAGATCAGCGGCAGACTCTTGCTCAGATAGGCTCCTCTGTAGCAGCAGCCGCGACGAGTCTCAATGCGGCGCGGCAGCGCAGCAGCGGCGGCGGCAGGGGCAGGAGGAGGAGTGGGGGGGATGGGCGGTGCTGGGATGGGGATGGGGTATGACACGCTTATGATGCCCAATGATGGTTCCAGGGATGGGTGGTGTTGGGGGGGGCATGGCAGCAGGGGGGCTTGCACCGTCTGCTAGCTTCAGCAATTGACTCGGAGCAGCAGCAGGGATGCTGGGACAGTGATAATCACTGGTGCTGGTGCGGCTGGGGGTGGAGGAGGAGCCATGGCACCCCGAATCTCTCTCTGGCTGCTGCCTGCAGCAGTGGGGCAGCGGGTCCTGTGGGTTTGCCAGGCCTGGGGGAGTGGTGGAGGGATGGGGGGCATCATTGGCTGATGAGTCCTGCCATGAGTCCACGTGTCCCTTCCATTGGCTGCTGGGCTGGCTCCTGCGATCACGCGGTCAACGTCATGGGTTGCCCCTGTCAACGGTGAGATGTTGCGATTTGTTTCGTTGCTTTCTCCCTTTGAGTCGACTCAAAAGCTTTCTCCCTTTGGCATAAATTATTTTTGGTGTGTTTTGAGTCGACTCAAAACACACATGTGCGATTTGTTTCATTGCTTTCGTCTCCTTTGCATAAATTTTATTTCTGAGGCGCCTCAAGAGTTGGCTCCTGCGACCACTCGGTCCACGTCATGGGTTGCCCCTGTCAACGGTGAGATGTTATGACTGTTTTTCTTCTTCGGCGGTGTTACTGCTGCTGTTGCCGCCGCCGCTGCCGAAGCCTAATAATGTTTCGAGTATATTTCGATGCTCGCCTCATTTCCTGTCTCCCTCCCTCTCTTCCCCTATTTCCTGTCCAGCCCCACACCCAATGGGCAGCTGGCGACAGCTGCAGCACCGCAGCTCGCCATGTCACCCTCTGCTGCCGCAGCCTCGGATTCCTCCAAGCCCGGGACCCGTTCGGCCTGGTGGCTCGGGACAACCTCGGGCTGCCGCCGGTGGCAGCAGGTTCGGGAATGCAGGCTCGGGACAGCGGGATGCGGAGGGTAATGACCGCAGTGGATTCTCGTCATCCCAGCAGCAGCAACAGCAGCAGCAGCAGAGGCAGATGGGGGGAATGGGGAATGGGAGATCCTTGGGGGAGTGCATGTGCTGTCATCTCTCACCGGAGGTGGGGGGTACCCGCCGTTGAGACCAAATGTGAGTCTGCATCTGACTCTCTCTCTTCGTCTTCTTCTTCTTGATTATTACTGCATGGACGTCTGGTTGAAGTGCTTGCTGTGTTTGGGCCTCCTCCAAACACCCACTTCTTGTTTTTGTTACAAGTTGTTTGCTGCGCGTATGTTTCGTTTTAGGTCTCTGTCTCTGTCTCTCTCTATCCTTTCCCCCTTCTCCCATACAGGCTGCAGCCACCTCATCAGACTCCATTGCTCACCCATCCAACGCACCTGCACATAAACCCTGCTGGTCGCCCCCAAACCCTAACTCCACTTCCTCCTCCTCTCATCCTGCCTCTGCAAGTGCTGCCCCTGCTGCTGCACCTACTGCCACTTCTGGTGCTGCCGCCGCCACCACCACCAACGCCGCTGCTTCAGCAGCTGCTGGCACTCTGCCTGCTGGCCATGCAAGCATGCCCAATCCCGGATCTTCTGCTGCTGGTGCCGCTGGTGCTGCTGGCTACCCTGCTAGCGGCTCTACAGGCGCAGGTGGTGGTAGGGGCAGTGGGCTGGGGTTTCAGGGGCTATCCCTGCTCCTCTCTCCGCCCCTCTCTCCGCGTCTCTCTCAGCTTCGCTCCTCGACCCGTTTCTCTCGCTCGAGCAGCGGCAGCCGCGCAGGCAAGCCGGTGCCAAGTCAGGGCTATATGCGTGGAGCTGTGGGCACTTGTCGCGGCCGCTGCTGGAGGCGGTGTGTGACGCGGAGGCCGCGGACGAGGCGAGCCGCCCGGGAGAAGAAAGCGGTCGAAGGGGTGGCGGAGTGCCGGCGAGCCAGTGGTGTCTGGGTTGACTCTGCACTCTCTCGCTCTGCACTCTCTGTCGCTCTCTCTCCGCTCTGCACTCTCCGCTCTGCACTCTCTCCGCTCTGCACTCTCTCCGCTCTGCACTCTCTCCACAACCCCTGCTTGCTCCCCGCAACCCCTGCTTGCTCCCCGCAACCCTGCTTGCTCCCCACAACCCCTGCTTGCTCCCCCACAACCCTGCTTGCTCTCCACAACCCCTGCTTGCTCCCCGCAACCCCTGCTTGCTCCCCACAACCCCTGCTTGCTCCCCACAACCCCTGCTTGCTCCCCACAACCCTGCTTGCTCCCACAACCCCTGCTTGCTCCCCCAACCCCTGCTTGCTCCCCGCAACCCTGCTTGCTCCCCACAACCCCTGCTGCTCCCCACAACCCCTGCTTGCTCCCCACACCCCCTGCTTGCTCCCCACAACCCCTGCTTGCTCCCACAACCCCTGCTTGCTCCCCACAACCCCTGCTTGCTCCCCACAACCCCTGCTTGCTCCCCACAACCCTGCTTGCTCCCCACAACCCCTGCTTGCTCCCCACAACCCCTGCTTGCTCCCCACAACCCCTGCTTGCTCCCCACAACCCTGCTTGCTCCCCACAACCCCTGCTTGCCCCCCGCAACCCTGCTTGCTCCCCACAACCCCTGCTTGCTCCCCACAACCCCTGCTTGCTCCCCACAACCCCTGCTTGCTCCCCACAACCCCTGCTTGTCTCCCACAACCCCTGCTTGCTCCCCACAACCCCTGCTTGCTCCACAAACCCCTGCTTGCTCCCCCACACCCTGCTTGCTCCCCACAACCCCTGCTTGCTCCCACAACCCCTGCTTGCTCCCCGCAACCCCTG